TTTTATTCACTTATTGAACCCGGTCTTGAGTTGAACCCGGTTCACTCAATTAACTTGAACCGCTTCTGAGCTTTAAGAGACTCTAGTAGAATTGGAGGCTTCCCCTGTTCCTTCGTTCTTCAGCATTTCATATCACAGAACTGTAGCTCAACAGTACATATTAATAACAGATATATCTCCAAAAATACTAAAACCATGTATCATTTTACATTTTTTACTCGCTAGATAAGCAAAAGCCTGTCGAATTCAAACGACCAAATTACCCGTCACCTCTTCTCGGAATATCTTCCATATAAGTTCAGTCTTTGACGCTGACATCAGCAATGGCGAAATCGAACTTGGGAAAGAAGGAGCAGATTCCTGATCTTGATCCAAGAGACTATTCAAACGCTCACTATGATAAGGGATCTTTATCAATTCATGATGACGGCGAAAGCAAAATCCAAGAGGAAGTGGAAGGAGAAGATACCGACCGTGAGCGGGTGACATTATTTCGGCAGTTAACCTCGCGATCGAGCTGACGAAAACCCTAGTCGCCTTCTTGTTCTGCCCGTCCATTTGAGAAACAAGATATGACAACAATGAGAAGGCAGCTAGGGTTTTCGTCAGCTCGATCCAGAGATCTTTCAGAGACCCTAATGAACCGGTGGAATCCGTGACTCGAGCCTTACACTTCCCACGCTGGGAAAACCCTAAATCGCCCGACGAGAAAACTGTGAGAGAGGCTCAGCTAGGGGTGGCAATTTTGGTTATTAACCGAATAATCGAGCCGAACCGAATCGAATAAGACATAACCTTATCCGAACCGAATCCGACATCAAAACCAAATGGTTATGATTTCTTTAAACCCGAAAAAATCGAAACCAAATTGAACCAAACCGAATTAAAAAAATAACCGAAAAATCCGGCAATTTCTTTGAAAAAATGACTTTCCCGAAATCGAACCGAACATGAACCGAAAATAATCGAACCGAACCGAACCAAATTTTATATAAAAACCGAATGGTTATAGTTTTTCTATAACCGAAATAACCGAACCGAACCCGAATCGAAACCCGAAATAGTCACCCGCCACAATCTAACGGAGGAAACTTGTACAGCAAGTAACTCAATTCAACTAAATCGTGATTTCCTTTTATTTTCTTTTGTTTTATTTTGGGATTAAATTAAGTAACTCAAAGATAAAACCAAAAAATATCTAATTAATTTTAAAAATAAGTCATCAGTAAATCTAAAACCTGTTGTATTTTCCTTCTCCGTTGGATGGATTTTAAAATTCAATCCAACGCAATTTCCATTTTATTATTGTTTGGATTTAAGAAAATTAATAAAAGATATTTATATAACTTTCCGTTGGCCAAATTTAAAGTCAACTCAATTTTATTTTTCTTGTGTTTCGGGATTAAAGTAAGTAATAAAAGCAAAAAAAAAATACCTAATTAATTTTTTTATAAAGATAATATCAAATCAAATTTAAAAATAAGTTAGTAGCAAATCTAAAACGTGTTTACATACAGTATATAGTACGGAGTAGGACTGAGGAAACATTGTCAAAGTGATCACCTTGGACTCCGAGGCTTGGACATCAATGGAGAGAGAAGAGATGAGTCACGAGAAGAAGAGGGTCACTGTAACAGCATCTGATGTTTCCGCCTTGAGAAACAGAGCCGCCATCGCCATGCACAAGGGAGATGCTCCGTCCTCCGCCGCCATGGAGATCGATCATCTCCTCCGGCGTTGGTTTTCAGAGCTGGTTCGGAGGGAAGAAGGAAACAATTCTACAGACAACGTCCCTCGGAAAACCCAACAGATCAGACAGAAGAACGATCCGAAGAAGGTAACGGACAACAATCCCGTCTGATATCTCCGCCATTAGGTTTTGCGTTTTAGAACTGTTTTCTCTACAAATTTCAGGAGGAAGACGAACCCCCTCGTTTATCGATAGAGAAAGAACATCAAGATCCCCGCACAGAGATTCAGAAGAAGAGAGAAGCCTTCCGGCTGTCGCTAGACAAGGTTTGATCATTTGAATCATTTCTTCTTCTTCGAGCAGTCTTTGATCTTGTTTCCGTTTGGACAGCTCGAAGCTGACGCCAAAGTGGAGAATTATCTGAAAGATCTCAGACAACTTGTGGAACTCGGTTGCTCCTTCCTTCGCCACGAAGTTCATCTCATGGAGGAAAACGGAGTACATAACACACGGGATCGAGTTTTCACACGTTTTGGCGTTCCTGTCTCTGAGGAGTTGGGTTCGAGCAGGAGATTCGAGGAAGAAAGCGTTAAGACAGTGGAGAAGAAGGTAACTGAACTGCTTGTGTTTCTCTTCCCACGAATGATTGTTTCAACTCATTTTCCCGACAAAAATTTCAGGAGAAAAACGCGCCGAATCGGATAGAAGACGAGTCGAGCATGGAAAAGGCATCGGCCTCTGCAGATATTCCGAAGAACAAGGCGAAAGGAAAACCCATGAAGAAGAGACAGAACGAGAATGAAAACAGAAGTCTGGTTTCTTGCGAGGCAAGTAAGCGTTCAGGGCATTTGCCCTCCGGTTCCAAACAGAGCCCAAACCCTAGAGTCGGCGCCGATGTTCCGCCGGAAAACCCCTCCGCCGCGGTGGTTACCGGGAAACGGCGACGAGACCCGCCGAAGAAGAGACCGGACACAAGCAAGGTACGTCTCCTTTCGATTTTTTTTTTTATGGATTTTCTTAATCTGTTTTTTTTTTAATTTTCTTTTTTCCGATCCGCAAAGATTCTTAGATTTTTTTATGGATTTTCTTCATTTATTTTTTTATTGAAGGTTATTATTATTAATAATTATACTAATATTTTGGTTAATTAATATAAATGTAAAAAATTGATTTTATACATAATATTTTAGAATATTCTTCCATAATTTGAATGTTTTTCCTAACAATTTTTTTCTACTTAAATTTTCAGACCAAGAGCTCTTCGGATATTGGAAAAAAGGAAACCTATGGCCATGCAGAATCATTTTCCAAAAGCAACGATAATAATAATAATGTAAGTAACCAAAATAATTTTGCCATTCATTATATATCTATACAATTAAATTTCAGACTCATTTTTATGTTATTTTTATACGCTTTTTAGATATCAAAAGTGTCGGATTCGACGACTAAAGAAACGAATCCGAGCTTAGAGGCAAACCCATATCCAAGAACATCTCCATGAGAGACCTCATCGTGAAGGCAAAACAAGAATTGAAGAAAGTACGCGAAAGGAGGCTTCAAGAACGATAAATCCGTTCAATCTTTGAATCATGTCTTTTATTCTTGTAACATTTTATGAAAATATGAGATTTGAAATCGTTTGTTTGGTTATCCCAAACTTTTACATTGCTGTAATGGGATTTCCATTTTTTTTTATGCAAATGTAAATATATTACTTGAAAACTAACCAAATAAATTTCATAAAATAAACAGAAAATAATAAGATGGAAACTAAGTTATGGAAATCTTGTAACACCGGCTCTTCATTGTATTTGCGATCATACTGCCACGTGATTCAATCTTGTTAGAATATATGATGTTTCTGATTTATCGGCGTCTCGATATAGATATAGAAATTTTTTTACTAATATTGGTTTCAGTGATAGATGTTCATCACAGCGTTAGTACTCACCAATTGCTTGTGTGTTAAAAGATCGTTTAAGCCATATTTTTTTTTTGTAAAGTCTCATATTTTTAGATGTTTTGCCTTTTTTTATAAAATGAAATAAGGTTTTTTAATTTTAATTCCAATTTCTAGATTTCTCTCTCTCTTTCTCTGCCCTTTTCTAAATAGTAAAATTAAATAATTTTTATTAATAAATAATCTGATGATGTATTGATAACAGATATATCTCCAAAAATACTAAAACAATGCATCATTTTTCATTTTTTACTCGCTAGATGAGCAAAACCCTGCCACTTCAATGAATTGAAATGACCAAATTACCCCTCCCATATTCTTGGAATATCTTCCATATAACTGCTAAAACTGAATCCCGAAGACTCTATCCCCCTTCTTTCTCTCTCTCTAAGATCAGTCTTTGACGCTGACATCAGCAATGGAGGCTGCCGGCGGAGACCCGCAGAAGAAGAGACCGGACACAAGCAAGGTACGTCTCCTTTCGATTTTTTTTATGGATTTTCTTCATCTGTTTTTTATTTCATTTTCTTTTTTCTGGTCTGCAAAGATTCTTAGATTCTTTTTTAAGGATTTTCTTCATCTCTTTTTTTATTGAAGGTTATTATTATTAAATATACTAATATTTTAGTTAATTAATATAAATGTAAAAATTGATTTATGCATAATATTTTAGAATTTTCATCCATAATTTGTAATGTTACTCCTAACAATTTTTTCTACTTAAATTTTCAGACCAAGAGCTCCTCCGATATTGGAAAAAAGGAAACCTATAGCCATGCAGAATCATTTTCCAAAAGCAACGTTAATAATAATGTAGGTAACCAAAATAATTTTGGCATTCATTATATATCTATACAATTAAATTTCAGACTATTTTTTTTTTGTAACTTTTATATGCTTTTTAGGTATTAAAAACGTCGGATTCAACAATTAGAGAAACGAATCCGAGATTAGAGGCAGACGCCATATCGAATAACTGTTCCATGAGAGACCTCATCGCGAAGGCAAAACAAGCACTGAAGAAAGTACGAGAAAGGAGGCTTCAAGAACGATAAATCCGTTCACTCTTTGAATCATATCTTTTTTGTTCTTGTAACATTTTTTTGAAAATATGAGATTTGAAAATATGTCCATGTTGGATTTCCCGAAATTGAGTCTGCGACAAGTGAAAAAGAAAAGAGCTCACAGAGAACAGATCAAAGGGCTTCAACAGATTCCTGATCTTGATCCAAGAGATTATTTAAATGTTCATTATGATAACGAATCTTTATCGATTCATGATGCCCATGAGAGAAATGGCAAAATCCAAGAGGAAGAGGAAGTAGCATCCCGCGAAGTGGGTGACACATTTCGGGGTCCCGAAGACGAAGATCCCGACTCAAACCCGAAATCTGAGTCTCTGAAAGATATAAAGAGTAGAGCAGTTAATCTCGGGATCGAGCTGTCAAAAACCCTAGTCGCCTTTTCGTTGCTGCCTGTCCATTCAAGCCAGATCGAGAAACAAGCTCAGTTGGAAGGTTGGATCTTTCGACGATCTTGCAAGGAAGATTCCGAGGTGTTTTATCTAATCGATTACCTTCTGTTCACTGCTAAAGAACTCGCCAGAAAGGAAGAAGAAAAAGAAGACAACAACGTATCTGAAGCCGAGAAGATCAGCAAAGATCTGATTGAGAGATTGGCCAAAACAATTAGCGGGTTGCAATCGATAGTATCGTATCTTCAGCGTAAACCCGAGATTTCCGAGAGAAACGAGTTGGCTCGGGTAGAGCGCTTTCATTCGCAGTGCAGCGAAAATCTTGGAGCTGCAAAGGAGGAAACAAACAAGTTGAAGGAAATGTTAGGACAAGAGACGGAAGAAGCTTTACAGCAGGAAATGGAGCTGCAGATAAACAGATGCTGGAATGACAGGTTTTGGGAGTATGTCTCAACATCATGGCTCTATAGGCTCTTGAGTAGATTCCCAGAAATCGTTTACGCTATGTCCAAACTAGCTGTTCTAGATTCGAATCTCTGGTTAACAGAAAACTAGGGTTTTACACCAAGAAGTTTCAATGATTTTTGTCAAAACACACTTTCAGTTTGTGAAGAAACAGATTTTGATGGGTTCTGTAATATAGGAAATTGGCTTCAGGACCTCATTCAAATCCTAGGACTCGAAATGCAGAAAAACCTTAAACTAGCCTCACATGGAGTTTTCACCTTTCAGGACAAGGAGACAAGAAACAAGCATGAGGAAGCATCATTCCATAAGTAGTTGATCTACAGACCACAGAAGCTGATCTCTCATTCTGAAAATTTCCCAAATTTTGGCTTCTGCTCTTCCTCACCATTTTCAATCCAACACCTGCAAGAAAAACTCGTCTTTTCTCCCTCAATTGGATCCACCATTCATTTCAGTGAAAGCCAAGGTAGTATGCAGTCAGAGTGGTGGATATGCTTACACAGCTTCTCACGAGCCAAGGATTCAAAACTCGGAGGGTTCTCTGCACACAGCGCAATTCGATTCGACACGATCATGATCACAGGTATCCAGTCGATTGCTGCCTCAGAAGCCGGTGGTGCTCCAATCTCGAACCCCGAACCCATCGGGCATGGTCGCAGGTAACGATCGGCGACCCGACCCAGTCCCGTCGTCGTGGTAAAGCTCGTAGCTTCCCGCAGCTCCATCATTCCCACCGCCCCTCGTACTCGAGCTCCGCCGCGGAATCGTCGGAGCACGAGAACGCGTCCCGATTTCTTCGACGAACCCGCAGCCACGATCGAATCAATTCGTGCTCCCGAAGCCGTATCCTGATGAACCGATGGAACCTGCGACTCAAATCTAACAAAAACCCTAGAATCGAGCCTCAATTGGGTGAATCCCCAAAGCGAAAACAAAAAAAAAATATTTAAATTATTTTAAAAATATATTCTCAGTAAATCTAAAACATTTTTCCGTTGGATGGATTTCAAAATTCAATCCAACGAATTTCCATTTTATTATCATTTGGATTAAAGCAAAAATTAATGATAAAAAAGAGAAAAGGAAAACCCATACATATAAATACAGCAAGTACGAAGTCAAACATTGTCAAAGTGATCACCTCGGACATCGACGGAGAGAGAAGAGATGAGTCGTGAGAAGAAGAGGGTCACTGTAACAGCGTCTGATGTTTCCGCCTTGAGAAACAGAGTCGCCGTCGCCATGCACAAGGGGGAAGCTCCGTCCTCCGCCGCCATGGACATCGATCATCTCCTCCGGCGCTGGTTTTCAGAGCTGGTTCGGAGGGAAGAACTCGACAATTCTAAAGACAATGTCCCTCCGAAAACCCAACAGATCAGACAGAAGAACGATCCGAAGAAGGTAACCGACAACAAATTTCAGGAAGAAGACGAACCCCCTCGTTTATCGATAGAGAAAGAACATCAAGATCCTCGCACAGAGATTCAGAAGAAGAGAGAAGCCTTCCGGCTGTCGCTTGACAAGGTTTGATCATTTGAATCATTTCTTCTTCTTTTCTCTCGTCTGAATCGAACAGTCTTTGATCTTGTTTCTGTTCGGACAGATTGAAGCCGATGCCAAAGTGGAGAATTATCTGAAAGATCTCAGACAACTTGTGGAACTCGGTTGCTCCTTCCTTCGCCACGAAGTTCGTCTCATGGAGGAAAACGGAGTACATAACACACGGGATCGGGTTTTCACTCGTTACGAGAATGAGAAAGTGCCAAGAAACAATCAAGATCGGGTTTTCAGACATTACTTTCAATTCAAATCTGAAGGGATGAGCCCGGAAATACACGAACGAAGCCAGAGACGCAGTGACGATGTTAAGGAGCAAGAGAAGAAGGCAACGGCAACTGTAACTGTAACAAGATCTTTCCAGAGACGTGATGCGAAAATCACAGAGGAAAAGGCATCTGCGCGTGCGGATATTCATCAGAAGAACGCCATGGCAGAGGAGAAGCAAGAAAAGAAGCAGAAAGGGCGACCAAATTCAGAAAGAACGAAGAATGAAGAAGCTCAATCAGTGGCCATGGAACTGGATAATCTCCTCGACAAATGGAAACAGACGGAGCTCACTCGCTCGGGTGTTATTACCGAGACTCAACTGAAAAGTTTGGAAGACAAATCTCCAAAGACGAAAGAGAAGAAGAGACAGAGGGATCATGCCCTCGTTCCGGATGCAGTTACTGTCTCGAGCAAGAGAGTTGATAGAGAAAGTCTTAAGACAGAGGACAAGGTAACTGAACACGATCCCATCTGATATTTTGCTGCCTTAAAGATTGTGTTTTGTCTTCCCATGAATTCTCGTTTTAGACTCACATCGTCTCTTTTCAGAGCCGTGACGTGAAAATCGCAAAGGAAAAGGCATCTGCATGTAAGGAAGTGTTAATGAGCAAGGAGACAAAGAACGACTTGAGACGCAATCCGACCGAGAATCAGAAGACACGTTCTCACCTAGAAGATTCGAAGCTCTTGAACGTTAGGCTAATTGCAGAAAATCTGCAATTTCTCATCTGAAATCTCTCTTATTCCTTTTATGTAAATATTACACCTTAGTTTCCTTTTTTTTATTTTCAGCAACTATTCTATATATTGTAAAGAATATACATGATAATATATGAGCGTATTATTTTTCTTTCTCTAAACCCAGACGTTCTTCTTCCTCCCCTCTTTCTTCTAGCCTTCGTCTGCAATTTCCTCTGTTCATTCTTCGATCTGGACTTCTGATTTCTTTATGGTATCAGAGCTCTAAGGTCTTTCTTTTCTCCCGATCTCTGTCTCTGTTTCTTGTCCTCCGTCTAGCAGTTTTTTTTTATCTCCATCGATTCACCATGGATCAGAAACCGATTCCGATAACTTTGAATGGGGAGAATTATTTTTATTGGTCAAAAGCGGCTAAGGCTACACTGAGTAGCAGAGGCCTCTGGAGTCACATTGTCTCTGACCATGTTGCGTCGTCCTCCCAGCCATCTGCGCCTGAAGGAGAAACCCCTGTTCCCGTTCCCCAACCCAATCCGGCGTTAATTGCCGAGAAAGAAGCCAAATGGCATCAAGAAGACCAGATGGCTCTGGTTTTGCTGCAAGGATCTCTCGATTCCACTGTATTACAGTCCTTCATCGCTCTCGACTCTGCAAAGGGTTTATGGGACGCTCTGAAGGAGATATACGGTAATCTCTTCTTCTTGCCTTGGATTCTTCTTACAACGACCTGGTCTATCATCTTCTCCGCCAACCGACATTGCCGCCCTTTTCTGAGGTATGTATGCTCATTAAAAGGCAAGAGACAGGGCGTAATCTGTTTGCAGGACCATCCGAGATGGCACACCTTGCCAGGCCATCCGAGATGAGAAACATGACGCCATCTGTAGAACAGAGAAACGCTACCTCGCTGTCGGGAAACAGGCTGAGACGCCAAATAATGTGTGAGCACTGTCGGAAACCGGGACACAGCAAAGAACGCTGCTGGATTCTGCATCCGCACCTCAAACCAGCTCGGTTTCAAGACAATCAGCCACCTAGGGGAGCTGCAATGACCGCCGGTCAGCCTATCTCTTTTACGCAGGAGGAGTTCAAAAACTTTGTTCTTGCGTTAAAGGATAAAGAAACCGGTAAATTCTCTACCTTATCAACTCCTCATTTTGTGATTGATTCGGGCGCTACCATGCATATGATTAAAGATAAAAATCTTTTTCAAACACTTGACTCTTATTACAGCATGGTTACTGTGGCTGATGGTAAACTTGTTCCTATTCGGGGTCGTGGGAAGTTTCGACTTTTTGGCATGGAATTTTCTGCATATTATATTCCTGACTTTAGCACAAATTTGTTGTCCATTTCTAAGCTCATACATGATATCGAATGCAATGTTATATTTCGCACTAACGATGTGGTATTTCAGGATACTAAGTCGGATAGCTCGTTTGGACATGGAATAAAGAGAGGCAATCTTTATGTTATAGAAGACTTGCACTCTCCCTCTGCTTCTTCATTTCACGTTTTTGAATCTTTATGGCATGATCGATTAGGTCACCCGCATAATAAAGTGCTCCATTTACTTGTACCGCAAACCAAAAACGTTGTTTCCTCTGAACTTTGTAAGGCTTGTGTACTTGGTAAACACTCTAGATCGGTTTTTCCAGTTTCTCAAACGGTTTATGAGAATGCTTTTGATTTGATTCATTCCGATGTTTGGACTGCTCCATGTTTTTCTCGTGATAGATTTAAATATTTTGTTACTTTTATTGATGAAAAGACTAAGTATACTTGGCTATATTTTTTGAAAAACAAAAGCGATGTCTTTAGTGTGTTTAAAACGTTTGTTGCCTATGTTACTACTCAATTCGGTGTGAAAATGAAATGTTTACGAACAGATAATGGCGGTGAGTATATGAGTCATAACTTTCGGTATTTTCTTGACACTCACGGCATCATTCACCAAAGATCTTGCCCTGACACCCCGCAACAAAACGGTGTCGCCGAACGCAAGAATCGACATCTTATGGAGGTTTCTCGAACTTTACTTTTTCACAAGCACATCCCGAAAATCTATTGGAGTGATGCGGTCAAGACGGCATGTTATCTCATTAACCGTCTCCCAACTCAAGTCCTTCACGACAAGTCACCATTTGAGGTACTTTTTCACGCTAAACCTTCTCTTGATCATTTACGGGTATTTGGTTGCGTATGCTATGTTCATGTAGATCCTTCTCATCGCACCAAGCTCGATCCGAAGAGTGTTCGTTGTATCTTCTTGGGATATCCGAATGATCAAAAGGGTTATCTCTGTTATCAACCTGCAACCAAACGGTTATATACATCTCGGGATGTGAGGTTCGACGAACAACTCTCCTTTTTCGACAAGCAAAAATGGACCGATAATGACTGCCTTGCTTCCCAAGGTACCGAATCTGATCCAGCGTCCAACCTGCTTGCTTCTTATCAAGAATTGGGTCTTTCTAATGACGTGTCAACACCACCATCAATTCTTGGTGCTCCACCTCTCATGTTTGACCAACGACAGGTTCCACCTTCCACTTCTTTGTTCC